CGTTGCACGGCCTCTTCTGAATCCAGCTTGAACCTTTGGAAGTTCTTTGTCAATGTATGATTGCAGCCGTTTCTGTATTACCTCATGACTGATGTGGACATGTTCTTTTTGACAATGAATGCAACACCATTCCTCTTCAATTTGTCATTCCCAGCATAGTAAACCATGTGGTTGTCAGATTCAAAATGGCCAATGCCAGTCCATTTCAGCTCACTAATGCCTAAGATATCCATGTTTATGCATACCATTTCATTTTTGACAACTTCCAATTTTCCCAGATTCATATTTAGTACATTCCATGTTCTGATTACTAATGGATGTTTACAGCTATTTCTCTTCATTTTGAGTTGTACCCCATCAACAAATGAAGGTACCAAGGGCTTTTCTCCCACAGGCTTTACTCCATTCGCGTCATCACAGTCAACTCTACTTTGAGGAGGCAGCTCTTATCCAGTCGCATTTTGAGTGCCTTCCAAGCCGACGGTCTCATTTTATGGCACTATATCTGACAGTGTTTCTCTGCTACTCATAAGGTTTTCAGTGACTAAATATTCGGAAATAGTTCGTCACTCTTTCTTCCTAGTCTGTCTTTGTCGGGAAGCTTATCTGAAACCTGTCCACCATGGGTGATCCTGCTGGTATTTAAAATACCAGCGGCATAGCTTTCAGAATCACAGCAACTCACAAGCCACCACAGTATGACAAACTGACAGACAAGTGGTGGCCATTTGGTTTTAAGTGAAAACTGTCACTTTAAATTTCGAGGAGATCTGTGCACATGCGTACTAGAACCCTTCAGGGGAGGTGATGGGGTGTCCATTCGCTCAGGCATCCCCTCTAGTCACCAGAATGGAGGTGCGCAAACAGAGAGCGACCAATGAACAGATACCAAAACAAAGAATGTCCACACCTGAAATATTCTTCTGAACCACCTTCTCTCTTTGATACGCTACTCATTCTCTCTAACATTCCATATCCAATATCCATAAATTCTCATAAGCATAGTCTGTCCATGTATTAATTACCTTGTAAACATGACCACCTCCACAGTCACATTTTCTGTACCAGGATTCATCAAAGACTGTTTGATCTGGTGAGTTCAGAAACTAGATAGCAATACAAATTTCTTCATGGACAGATAACTGAGGTTCCAGACAGTTGACTCTTTGTCCCAGGTCACAAAGATCTTAGGGTGACATAGTTTGGGTCCAGTCCAAGACTGATGTGCTATTAGCACCAATCAAGGATAAAGGGACAGAAGCAGGCAACTACATGAAACTAGACATTGCTCACTGCAGTCTGAGTCTTACAGGAGGATTTATAATATCTGTCAGTGGAAAAAAGCTCCAAATTCTGTGTGTGTACGTAAGAACTGGGTAAAGGTTTATTATATATTAAAACAACTTTTCTTTCAACAATTCATACACATTTTGTTTCAAGTCATTGATGACAGCTCCCACAATATAATATCACTTAACCCACTTCCTTCCTGTGTTTCCAGTTTCCATTCCTCCTTTTTTTCCTAACCCTTTCTGTCTTTTGAACTTTGTCTTTGGTCAGATGCTGACATTTTATCTCAAGTGGTTGATCATTCTGGGGAGTGTGTATCCCCCAATGTTAATGTTTACTTCATAGACCTTTCTATTGTTTAGCTGAAAATTGAGCCACAGGAGTGAGTTCAGTTCCAGGCCTGAAGGATGACTAAGGACAATAGTCTCTGGTGTTCCACCAGTCTCTGTTCTACCAGCAAGCCTGGTCTTTTTTTATGATTTTGATTTTGGTCCATATTTTTCTCCCACTCTATTTAAGACCTTCTAATGTGATCATTTTCAGAGTGGTCAGTAGTGGTAGCCACACACTATCTAGTCTGGTCTCAAGGTCATGGAGGCTGATGTTTGTATGATCCATTTATCCATTGAACTAATTGTTTCCATGTCTTTGATTTTTTTTTCACTGTTCTTTGCTCCAAATGGAGAGGCACCAATAGTTGCACCTTACATGGCTGCTCGTATGCTTGTAAGATCTCTAAGTAGGATGTAAAGAGCTCTGGTAGCATAGCGGTTATGAGTTGGGCTGCTAAGCTCGAGGTCAGCAGTTTGAAATTAGCAGCCATTCCACGGCACACCACCACCACCCAGTAGGATGTAGAACATTGTCTTTGTGGACTCTGTTATGCTCATTGACCTTGGTGTCTCCCAAGACTATGGTCCTGAGTCCCCAGGCCTGGCACCTTATATACTTGAGGTGTTTGGTTATGTCTAAAAACTGTTTATAACTTTGCCTCTTGTGTGCAATACTATATTTATGGATCTTTCTGCAGCATAGATAAATGCAAATGTAGAAATATCCTCAGTCAAACTTACATACGTTCCTGGGTTTACTCTTATTCTCCTTCCCAATTGCTCAGCTTCGTGTCTTTCTACCCATCCACTTAAGGATTATTGTTTTTGCAGTATTGTGTATATGATAGTATTTACCTGTGTTGATGCAAAACTCTTGTATTCCTCTCGGTATCTTCCTTTACCCTCATCATTTTTTTTTAACCAACCTTCCTCTTATTATAGTATATCAGAGATGGCCTAATTTGTGTACTTCCTTTTTATGCCCAACAGAATCCATCTATCTATCCTCCATCTCTGCTATAACTTCCCCAACCACCATCTTCTTTCTCTCTGCTTCTTCTTTTAAAAAATCTTTCCAGGGTCTCCCCATTTTACTTCAAATAAAATCTACCTCCTTACCCTTGCCTCCCAGGATGTACATGACCCATGCACTTCACCAACACTGTCTTATGATAGTTATTCACTACAGTGCAGTCACTCTATCCTTCTTTCTATTCCTCTAACCCAAGAAACTTATTCCCAGGACATTGAATTGCTGTTTATAGTCCTGGAAAATTCTTCTGTCTGATCTTCATTTGGTTGCTTCATTCCTTTCTAGGAATAATGATATTTCCTCAATGATCACTAGCTACCACTAACCCAAAGTACAGCCCCCAAATCATTGTACATCATACTACACTTAGACTAAGTATTTTTCTATGTCTAAAATTATCTGGCTTACTTCCTTGTTTATTTTTTTATTGCTTGGTTATCCCATTCCAATGTAGGCTTTAAAAATCAGGGAACTTGTAGGTCTTATTCGCTGGTTTATCCCCAGTGCCTACAATAGTACCTGGAAGAAGTAAGTCTCAATAAATATTTGCTAGATGGACAGATGAACAAGTGAATGTGGATATCTCTGTGAAGTTATAAGTCACAAAAGACGAATGTAAGAACCAAAAAGGCTTTTAGAATGTATCAAGTTAAACTCATCATTTCATATTTTGTATTTACATTTATCAAGTTAAACAAGAGCTAGAAAAGTGAGTTTCTTGCCCAATTTATAGGAGGGATATGATCCCAGATTAGCTACAACATGTTGTTTTTTTCTCTAGAAACAAATACATGTAGATAGATATTTAGTCATACTAGACACCATAGTGGTGTCAGATGCTAATAAGAAGTATATGTGAGTTTGAAAGAAAAAGTTATTTGCCTGAAAAGATCTACTAGTTATTTTGTTTGTTTGTTTGTTTGTTTGTTTGTTTGTTTGTTTGTTTGTTTTAACCACTACACTACCAGGCCTTCCTTGAAGATGGCGGATCAGGTAGCTGTGTAGTGAGGAGCTCGGTCAACAACAACATGGAATAC